GTTGTTGTTGAACATTATTAATTCTAAAGAATAATTATTGTTGGGCCCCCTGGTGCACGCCCCCCCCCCCGCGCCTAGGCCGCAGCCACATTTTCATCATTTTCGTGAGGAAGCCTCAGGTAAAACGATGTGATCCAGATCCGGTTGTTTTGTTGTAATCCGTTTTCCCTTGCAAAAAACACTATAAAATAAAATGACATTTCTTGTTCTAATATAATCAAATTTCTTCAAGAATCCCTTGCAAAAAATAAGGTAAAGTGGACATTCGCGCGCGCAAGACGAAATCCTTCCAAAAGCTTAGTGTTCGGAGCGATTTTAACATAAAAACATCAAAAAACCAATGGTTTTTTCAACAAAAAAATGTCAAAATCTCATCCCGCGCGCTCTTGCGGATTCGTAGGAAACCCAACACTTTTTAAACATTTCTGTCAAACGGGCTTTTGCGAGCAACTTTTTCGAACTTCTGCGACAACGGTTGCGCACCTGCCAGGGCCATCATCCCTGTCAAATAATACCATGCGGGACACATTCGTTTTTTCTTCGCGCGCGCACGCCGTCGTCGTCGGCCGCGGGGCCCTGAATAGTAGCCACGGTCGTCCGCATGCCACGAAGTGAAGTGTCCGAACGTCATAGGGCGGGAAGCTGGGTGTGGGTGGTGGCGAAGAGTCGTTTGGAAATTTGGTAGAGCTTGAACCGGCCCCCCCACAAAGTGGGGGTATTGCCCGCCTCCTATGAAAACCCTGGCACTGGTGAGAACGGAGTGTCCCCACGTGCTAGTTGTTGTTGTTGTTGTTGTTGTTGTTGTTGTTGTTGTTGTTGAACATTATTAATTCTAAAGAATAATTATTGTTGGGGCCCCTGGTGCGCGGCCCGCCTCGCCCGCCTACCGCAGCCACATTTTTCATTTTCGTGGGAGGAAGGTCTCAGGCCCCGGGGTATACAGATCCGGTTGTTTTGTGACGGCCCCTTTCCCTTGCAAAAAAACACTATAAACATGAAATTCTCTCGTTCTAACATAACCAAACTTCAAGAATCCTTTGCAAACAAATGACACGAAGTGCACACTCGCGCGCGCAAGATTAAATCCTTCCAAAACCTTAGTTTTCGTAGCGATTTTAACATAAAAACATGAAAAACCCAATGGTTTTTCAAAAAAAAAATTTCAAAAATTCATCTTGCGCGCTCTTGCGGATTTCTGAGGAAACCCAATATTTTTTCAACATTTCTGTCAAACGGGCTCTTGCGAGCAACTTTTTCACGTGCTTCGAACTTCTGCAACAACGGTTGCGCGCATGCCAGGGCCATCATCCCTGTCAAATAATACCATATTGGACACATTCGTTTTTTCTTCGCGCGCGCACGCCGTCGTCGTCGGCCGCGGGGCCCTGAATAGTAGCCACGGTCGTCCGCATGCGACGAAGTGAAGTGTCCGAACGTCATAGGGCGGGAAGCTGGGTGTGGGTGGTGGCGAAGAGTCGTATGGAAATTTGGTAGAGCTTGAACCGGCCCCCCCACAAAGTGGGGGTATTGCCCGCCTCCTATGAAAAACCCTGGCACTGGTGAGAACGGAGTGTCCCCACGTGCTAGTAATTGTTGTTGTTGTTGTTGTTGTTGTTGTTGTTTTTTGTTGTTGTTGGTTTGTGGTTGTGGTTGTGGTTGTGGTTGTGGTTGTGTTATTTCTTCTTAAGAATAATTTTGTTGGGACCCCTGGTGCCGCGACCTCGCGCCGCGCCTACCGCATTTTCATCATTTTCGTGAGGAAGTCTCAGGCAAAACGATTGGTTACCCTGGATCCGGTTTTTTGTTGACCGCCTCGTTTTCCCTTGCAAAAAACAATAGAAAATGAAAATTCTTGTTCTTAGTTGATCAAATTGCAAGAATCCCTTGCAAAAAATAAGGTAAAGTGGACATTCGTGCGCGCAAGACGAAATCCTTCCAAAACCTTAGGTTTCGTAACGATTTTAACATAAAAACATCAAAAACCCAATGGTTTTTTAAGAACAAATTGTCAAAATGTCCTTCCGCGCGCGCTGTCCGAATCCCACAAAACCAATGGTTTTTCAACATTTATGTTACATGAGCTCGCGCGAGCTACTTTTTCTTGTTCTAACATAATCAAATTTCAATAATCCCTTGCAAAAAATAAGGTAAAGTGGACATTCGCGCGCGCAAGACGAAATCCTTCCAGAACCTTAGGTTTCGTAACGATTTCAACATAAAAACATCAAAAAGCCAATGGTTTTTCAAAAAAAAAATGTCCAAATTTCATCCCGCGCGCGCTGTCCGACTCCCACAAAACCAATGGTTTTTCAACATTTATGTTACATAAGCTCGCGCGAGCTACTTTTTCTTGTTCAAATCAAATTTCAACATCCCTGCAAAAAAAAAAAGTAAGTGGACATTCGCGCGCGCGCAAGACCAACAAAAAACACGACGATCTCAGGAACTTGCCCCAAAAATGTGGCCAACTCCGCTCTCTCTGTCTCTCTCTCTGTCTGCTCTCTGTCTCTCTCTGTCTGTCTGTCTGTGTCATGTATTGTATGTCACAATTGCAGGATGCTGGGCACACGCGCGCCCCGAATAAGTGACCAAGTTCTGTGGGTGTGTACCCCACGCCAGTGTAGTAGCCACGGTCGTCCGCACGCCACGAAGTGAAGTGTCCCAACGTCATAGGGCGGGAAGCTGGGTTTGGGTGGTCGCGAAGAGTCGTTTGGATATTTGGTAGAGCTTGAATGCCCCCCCACGAAGTGGGGGTATTGTCTCGGTGTCGCATGAAAACCCTGGCACTGGTGAGAACACTGAGCGTTCGGGTAAAATGATTGTTGTTGTTGTTGTTGTTGTTGTTGTTGTTGTTGAATATACATTACTTCTAAAGAATAATTATTGTTGGGGCCCCCTGGTGCACGCCCCCCTCGCCGCGCCTAGGCCGCAGCCACATTTTCATCATTTTCGTGAGGAAGTCTCAGGCAAAACGGGGGAGTCCGGATCCGGTTGTTTTGTTGACGCCCGCTTTCCCTGTCAAAAAAACAATATAAAATGACATGTCTTGTTCTAACATAACCAAACTTCAAGAATCCTTTGCAAAAAATGACACGAAGTGCACACTCGCGCGCGCAAGATGAAATCCTTCCAAAACCTTAGTTTTCGTAGCGATTTTAACATAAAAACATGAAAAACCCAATGGTTTTTCAAAAAAAAGTTTCAAACATCATCTTGCGCGCTCTTGCGGATTTCTGAGGAAACCCAATACTTTTTTCAACATTTCTGTCAAACGGGCTCTTGCGAGCAACTTTTTCACGTGCTTCGAACTTCTGCAACAACGGTTGCGCGCATGCCAGGGCCATCATCCCTGTCAAATAATACCATATGGGACACATTCGTTTTTTCTTCGCGCGCGCACGCCGAAATCTTCAAACACCATTGGGTTTCTTAAGAATTTCAGCACCGCGTATCATAAAATCGCACGAATCGCACCGTAGGTCCTCGAAAAACATCTGTACGAATTTTCAAAATTTCTACCCGCGCGCGCTGTCCGAATCCTAAAAAACCAATGGTTTTTCAACATTTATGTTACATGAGCTCGCGCGAGCTACTTTCGCAAGCTCTTTCAACGGCGTTCGCGCGCCTGTCCAGGGGCCACAATCCCTTGTAACAAAAATCACTAAGCTACATGCGTCCAGGGACACATGCGCGCGTGTCGCAAGTCACTGTACCCATGCGCCAGTGTAGTAGCCACGGTCGTCCGCAGGCCACGAAGTGAAGTGTCCGAACGTCATAGGGCGGGAAGCTGGGTGTGGGTGGTGGCGAAGAGTCGTTTGGAAATGTGGTAGAGCTTGAACCGGCCCCCCCACAAAGTGGGGGTATTGGCGGGCGTCGTATGAAAACCCTGGCACTGGTGAGAACGGAGTGTCCCCACGTGCTAGTAATTGTTGTTGTTGTTGTTGTTGTTGTCGCTTTTCGTAACCCCACCAGCTTTTCCAGAAACGATGCCCCGACGAGTTGCCTTGATCCTGGAGCTCGACACGGACTTCCTCCATGTTTTTGAAAGGTTTGACGTCTTCGCTTTTAGAGTTCCCAGCGCTTCAGATCAGAAGCCTCCAAGAGGGCCCGAAGGCGCTCAAAGAGAGCCCGCGGACAGCCCAGAAAGCCTCCAAGATTGTTTGACAGACTTCCAAGACGGCCCCAGAGGGGACCAAGATAACGCCAAGGCAGGCACCGAGACTGCCAGGAGGCCCCCAACAGGCTCCGAAGAAACGCGGAGGGACCCCAAGAGGCCCCCAGACGTCCCTCCGTCGCCATTTGGCTCAAGCGACTCCGATCGAGGCTGTCACATCACGCGGCGGCCTTGTGAGTTGTCACCCCTTGTCAGGTTTCAACTCGACCAAGAAGCCCATCCAACACAATGCGTGAGGCGATCTGCATCCACATTGGGCAGGCGGGTGTGCAGATTGGCAATGCGTGCTGGGAGCTCTTCTGCCCTTGCTGATGCTCGTTGACCTCAAAGAGGTAGCAGGTGGAGCGCCTGGGCGAAGTCCGCGGCTTCGGTGGCGGATGGCGCGCAGAGCGTCTAAAAACGGGATACCGCGTTCGCCCAGGGGTGGTTGCCGCAGTTTGTGGTACCATGTCGAGCACTTGGGGGGCGTGTCGGCGTGTGACGTGGGTTATCCATCTCATTCATCGGCGAACTTCGACATCGACACGGGTTCCAGGGGTTTCCCCAAGGGCGATGCTGGGTGGACTCAGCGGTCCTGTTGGTATGGTGGTTGGTGGCCCGCTCCCGAGACTGCGGTCGAGGGGGCTGACGGGGGCTGCGTGTCTGCCGCGCCCCCCGAGGGCGCCGGCATGCGGCTTCGGCGGCTACCGGCGTGCGCAGCGACTAAAGATCAGACGCAGCGCGCGCCCAGAGGTGGTAGGGCATTTTGCTTGACCATGTGCAGCCTTTGGGGGGCGTGTCGGGCGTGGGCGTGGGTTGTCCATATCCTCGCCCGGCGAACTTCGGCATGCACAGCAGGATCTGCTTGGAGGAGCTGGCCGGCGTGGGCGGCTGATATGCTGAGGTGGCGGCTTGTGGCTTGTGACCCTCGTGAGGTCGGCCACGCCCCAGGCGTGAACCATCCGCATCGACCGGTCTTGAGCCGTGAACCAAGTCGGCGCGTGCCTGGAAGGAGCTACGGCGATAGCGACTTGGAGCAGGAACCAAGCTCGCCACTTCAGCGCCCAGTGTGCGTGCCCCCCATCAAGGGCCTACGTGGTGCGCGCCTGGGATTATCGGCATCTTACGATGGCTGCGCTTCAGGTGGAGATTGCACGGGCGGCCAGTCACTGGCCTTCGAGCGCCCCGCGCAGCTCTTCTGCTTCAACGAGGGTGCAGGTGTAGCGCGCGGGCGCTGGCATGCGGCTTCGGTGGCTACCGGCGCGCGCAGCGACTAAAGATCAGACACCGCGCTCGCCCAGAGGTGGTAGGGCATTTTGCTTGACCATGTGCAGCCTCTGGGGGGCGCGTCGGGCGTGGACGTGGGTTGCCCATGTCCTCGCCCGGCGAACTTCGGCATGCGCAGCAGGATCTGCTTGGAGGAGCTGGCCGGCGCGGGCGGCTGATATGTTGAGGTGGCGGCTTGTGGCTTGTGACCCTCGCGAGGTCGGCCACGCCCCAGGCACCCCGGGCGTGAACCATCCGCATCGACCGGCCTTGAGCCGTGAACCAAGTCGGTGCGCGCCTGGAAGGAGCTACGGCGATAGCGACTTGGAGCAGGAACCAAGCTCGCCACTTCAGCGCCCAGTGTGCGTGCCCCCCATCAAGGGCCTACGTGGTGCGCGCCTGGGATTATCGGCATCTTACAGTGGCTGCGCTTCCGGTGGAGACTGCGCGGGCGGCCAGTCACTGGCTTTCGAGCGCCCCGCACAGCTCTTCTGCCTTGAGCACGGTATCCAGCCTGACGGCCAGATGCCCTCTGATAAGACGATCGGAGGCGGCGACGATGCTTTCAACACGTTCTTCTCTGAGACCGGCGCCGGCAAGCGCGCCCCCCGCTGTGCGATGGTCGACCTAGAGCCCACTGTGGTCGATGAAGTACGCACGGGTACCTACCGTCAGTTGTTCCACCCTGAGCAGCTCATCTCCGGCAAGGAGGACGCCGCGAACAACTTTGCGCGAGGGCGCTACGCCATCGGCAAGGAGATCGTCGACCTCGTCCTGGATCGGATCAGGAAGTTGGCCGACAATCGCACTGGCCTCCAGGGCTTCATGATCTACAACGCCGTCGGCGGAGGCACTGGCTCCGGGCTCGGTTGCCTGATGCTGGAGCGCTTGTCTGTGGACTACGGGAAGAAGGCGAAGTGCTCTTTCACTGTGTGGGCGTGCCCGCAGGTCGCCACGGCAGTGGTGGAGCCCTACAACGCTGTTTTCTGCGTGCACTCCCTCCTGGAGCACACAGATGTCACCATCATGTATGACAACGAGGCACTGTGCGAGATATGCCGCCGCAACCTTGACATCGAGCGCCCTACTTACACCAGCCTGAACAGGCTGCTGGCGCAGATCATCTCCTCGCTGACTGCGTCGTTGCGCTTCGACGGTGCTCTGAACGTGGACGTCGCCGAGTTCCAGACGAACTTGGTGCCCTACCCACGCGTCCACTTCATGCTCTCCAGCTATGCACCCGTGATCTCTGCGGAGAAGGCGCACCATGAACAGCTGTCAGTGGCGGAGATCACCATGTCCGTCTTCGAGCCCGCATCCATGTTCGTGAAGTGCGACCCTCGCCATGGCAAGTATATGGCATGTTGTATGATGCACCGCGGAGACGTAGTGCCCGAAGATGTGAACGCTGCGATAGCTACTATAAAGACCAAGCGCACCATTCAATTCGTGGATTGGGCCCCCCGGCTACGGCCGCGGCCCGGCAGGGGGAGGCTCGGAGGTGGCTGTACCCATGTCCTTGCCACACTGCTGCCGAAAGTTCAACCTCACCTACCGTCGAAAGTCTGGCGGGGAGCGGGAACGATCCCACGGCGCTGTGGCAGCCTCTCCCGCCCCCTCCAGCTCGCCGGAGGTTTCGCGGGCTACCCTCCGGGGTGGAAGGGCGCCAACGGCGCGTGGTTGACGCGGCTAACGAGGCTCTGGCGGGCGTGGCTCTGGGCTGGAGAAGTACCTCGCACGAGGGACTGTCTGCTGACCGGGGCCATATGCTGACGAGGTGCCCGGGGTGTTCCCAGCTTCGGGATTCTCGGTGCTCGCGCTACCGCGTAGGCAGTGGCGGGGGGTCCAAAGACATGCAGGGAATTCAACCGGCCCGCGGGTCGCAGCCTGACAGGTGGGTGGGCCAGCCGACCTACATGTGGGAGTGCCTTATAAAGCTCCGGCCTACAGGAATGCCCACGTGCGGACCGTCGCGCTGGTTGCCGTTGCAGCTCCTGGCCTGCTCCGAACTGCTACAGAATCCAGAAAGGGGTTCTACGGGATGGGCGCCCCGTAACAGATCCAGCACGCAGTGGGGGTCTACTGCGTCAACGAGATCCCCCCCAGAGGGCCGACCCGAGGCCGCGGCGCGGCCCGCGCGCGGGTGCTTATTTATTCGTGGATAGGTGCCCCACGGGCTCCCCAGCTGGGAGGGGGTTCACTGCCGCCGGCAGTGGGCCGGAAGTGACCGGACATAAATGTTCCCAGCGGTCTTACGACGTAATCGAGCGCCTGATGCAGGCGTACTTGAACGACCTGAGTGGTCACGACGGTAGCCACGGGTGGCTACGCGAGCTGGCGAAGGTGTGGCAGAAGTTGATGCACATCATCCACGGGAACGGGCCCCAGTGGGGCTACAGCGGCAAGGGGCGGAGTGGCAAGGGGAAGGGCGGCAAGATGAAGGGCAAGCACCGCGACCGCAACGAGGAGGAGGAGGCGGAGGCACGGCGGAGGACGGAGGAGGAAGATGCTGCCGAATGGGCGTCCCTGCAGCGCCGGAGGCCAACGCTGTTCGCCGACGAGTGGAACGTGCCCGTCTGCTCCGCGGAGGACCTCACCAGGGCCGGAGGGGTGGCAATGGCTTACGAGACCGAGGTCAGGCAGGTCCTCGCACGCGTCGTGCCCACCTTGCGGCCGACCGCAATTCTGACGACGAGGCCGCTGCACGAGCTCGGGTACAAGGGGTATTCTTCCACGCTCGTCACCTTCAACATGCAGGTCTTCGACGAAACGGCCATGGCTCCGGATGGCATGCGAGGGGCTTGGAGGGATCATCTGGGAGCGCGGCGGTATTTGACGCAGTTGGGCGACGCTGGGCGGGTCCACAGGGTGCTGGAGGAGGGGCTGGTGCAGGTGGCCGAGCACAGGACGATGGTGCGCATCGTGGTCGACATCGACAGGGCCGCCTTCGAGTGGGCGCCGGACACCGTCATCTCGGCCATGCACGTCACGGACGTCATCAAGGGCTGCGCCGGGGCCGCGGTGGACATGCACGAGGTCGTGGTCAGGGACGACGGCTCCGCCACGGTTCGCGTCCCGTCTTCTCTCGTGGGCGACCTCATGCAGAAGTCGGGCCGTCAAGGAGCCTATTTCAAGCCCGCTTTCGACGAGGTGGAGGGCTTGGCGGACTTCGTGCTGTGGCTGGAGCCCGGGCTCTCGCACGAGGAGGCCCTGGACGTCTGCGATGCGATGTCCAGCATCGGCTTGCTGAGGCGGGGGAAGAAGCCAGTGCGTTACGGTTTGCGGTGGCAGACGCAGGAGGCCTACGACGCAGCCGTGAAGAGCATCCCTGGCCGGGAGAGGCTCGAGGGCACTACGCGCTACAAAGTGGTGCCCGTTACGCCAGAGGTCGGAGCGCAGGGCATCAAGAAGATGCTGGCCGACTTCAAGTGGGAGGTGGCGGAGCTCGCGCACGCGGACAGGGACGCGGCGCAGGGGCAGGCCCTGGTCTACGCGAAGACTGCGCCGCCGGCGGCGAGATTCCAGGTGAAGCCGAGTGCGGGCGAGCCGTACCTGGTGTACATCCGTGCGGTCGGGCGCCTCAGCCAGCAGAAGATGGATGCGGCTGGGCTGCGCGCCGGCTCCCGCATGGCTCCGGCGGCCTCCAGTGCTTCGTCCGGTGCAACAGCGGAGGCGAAGAGCCGGGCCCAAGGCGCGCTCCAGCGGACGCAGAGGGCTGCCGCCCGTGCTTCCAGCCCGCAGCCGACGGTGCGCCCGAGGGAGAGCACTGGCACGACGCCGCAGCGGCAGGTCGCACAGAGGCGGGGGGGGGATGCGCCTCCGGAGCCCATGGCCTTGGAGAACCAACGCTGAGGGGGCTGCCCACTCGGCCCCATGGTGGCCACTTCCTGAAGGGAAGGGTGGCATGTACTGTTGCTTCTGGCGGCCTCCCGACACGCCGGCGTTCTCAAAGGGACTGCTGGTTGATCGCTGGCTTCTGGTACCTTTTACTTGTACTTGGGACTGCGTGTTCGGCGCGGTGGAGGTGCCGGCATCCTTGGCTGAAGACGGTGGAGTGGAACCATGGTGTGCACGTCCTCCACGGTAACATGAAGCTGCGCTTTGTGAACGTCTCGGGCCTCAAGTCGCAGGGGCGGTGGGCGAAGATCGCCAATGTGACCGCGGACGTCGTGGCTTTGACGGAGACCCATGCTGACGAGGCTCTACAACAGGAGTTGCGGCATGATGATCAGAGATTGTGGATGCTTTGGGGCCGGCCTGCTACGGAGGGGACCTTCGACGGCGTCGGCATCTTGGCGCGGCGGCAGTCTTTTCAGGCGATCCGGGAGGTCGTTTTCGACGTGGGGAGCCCGTGCCGCAAATACTATGAGGACCGACGGCTGTTGGCGGCGACTCTCTGGACAGGAGATGGCAAGCAATTCATCATTGTATACGTGGTGCACGGGCCGTCGGGAGCACGCACCGACAGGGCGAAGCGAACGTATCTGGTGAACATGCTCGAGGCGGTGCTCGCGGACGCGGTGGCTCGAGGTCAAGTGGCCTGCTTCGTGGGGGGGGGACTTCAACGCCGAGACTTCGGACACGGCCGATTTCCAGGAGAAGCTGCGCAGGTCCCGGTGGCAGGAAGGCTATGACTTCTGCGCGGAGAGCCAGCAGGACATCCCTACCTGCACCCAGGGCCGTGGTTCGCGCATCGATCGTGTCATCATGAACAGTAATGCTTCTGCCTTGGTCAAGAGGTGCGAGATCGACACCGCAGCTGGGCTGCCCGTGCACCGCCCGATCGACATGCTTATTGACGTGCCGCTGGCGCAGCAAACCATCCGACGGGCACGCAAGGTGGCGCGGGTCCCTCTACCTGGCCGGCCGCCACCAGAGTACGTGCCTCCCCGGGACTACCCCAACCGGGCTTTTGAGCAGGCACTGGAGGCGCGCGACATGGATGCTGCGCTGAAGGCGTGGTGTGTCATGGCCGAGTCTCACCTGCTGGACGTGGCACCCAGGGACGATGGGCTCACGCAGGCGCGCCGTGTTCGGGGGCGGGGCAAGATCGTGGTCGAGGAGCGGCAGGCTTTCCCGAAGGTCGCGCTTGACAGCGCCGCCTCCCGTGCCACCCGGGCCATCCTGAAGGCCTGCGAGCGTGCTCGCACCTTGGCACGCATGGACCTCTCGTCCGTCCGGGCGGAGCGCACGCGGGCGGGATTGCAGGCTGTGCTGTCGCACTGTCAGGAGCATGTCGCCGACGAGGTCCGCGAGGCCATGCGGTCGTCTTGCACGCAGGCCGGGTACGCCAGGCTCCGCGAGACGTTGTTGAACGAGCTCCAGCAGGTGCAAGTGCGCGAGAAGCGTGCTCGCATCAAGAACTGGAGGAAGGACTTGCGCGCCAAGCAGAGCAGAGCGTACGATTGGCTGAAGAAAGGGGGCCCCGCTGAGACCGGGGGCGCCATGAAGAGGCCGGACAGCACCGTCACCGCGAACATCCCCGAGCAGCTGAATTTGGTCGCCGGCGCTTGGCGGCCCATTTTCGAGCGCTTCAAGCACAGGGAGCCGGCGGTGGATACCTTCATGGAGTACTTCGGGCCTCACATGCGGACGCACACCTGGAGGACGGAGCGGATCACAGGTGACCAGCTCGTGAAGGTCGCGGCGGATCTGCCTAACTCCGCTGGTGGCCTGGACTCCTGGACGGCGGAGGAGCTGAAGGTCTTGGCTCGCTGGCGTCCGCGTCTCTTCGATCAGCTGGCATCTGTGCTCAACGCGGTCGAGGGCGGGGCCCCGTGGCCCCGCGCGGTCGCGCAGGGGTACATTGCTTTGATCCCGAAGGACAAGACGGATGCGGAGCCGGTTCCGACGGCCCTGCGCCCCATAACGGTGCTGAGCATCCTGTACCGTCTGTGGGCGAAGCTCCGCTTCAACTGCGCCATGGACTCCCGGCAGGAGCACTGGGTGCCCGAAGGCATTTGGGGATGCCGCCGGCGTCGGGGAGCTGAGGGCCTCTTCTTGGGCGTGGCGCTCGACATGGAGCAGGGCGGCCAGGGGGTGCTCGTCGGTGGCGCCAGCTACGACTTCAAGAAGGCTTTCGACTACATACCTCTTCAGCTCCTCTTTGCCGTCTTGGCGCGACGTGGCATGTGCCCGCGGGTGCTGCAGGCCATGCGGGGTTTTTATTGTCAACTTCAGCGATGCTTCCGCATGCGGGGGGCCATGGGCGCGACCCTCGAGATTTTCGGTGGCATCGTGCAAGGGCGCCCGCTGTCCATGCTGGGCCTGAACGCCTTCATCAGTTGCTGGGTCGAGGCCGTGCGCAGCAAGGTGCCCGGCGTGATCCCGCGAGCCTACGCTGATGACATGTCAGCGACGAGCAAGGCGAGGAGCGGAGCGAGGCTCGTCAAGAACATCCAGAATATGCACGCCGTCACCCGCGAGTACGAGAGGAGGACGGGTGGCCAGGTGTCGGCGGAGAAGAGCTTCACTTTCGGCGCTGCGTGCCTACGCCGCAGCCTGGATGGAGTTGACGGCCACGAGCACATTTTCCGGCTCGTGGGAGGTCCTGTGACAAGCCGCGAGGAGGGGGAGGCGGAGTCGTGGCCGCAGCTGGTCGAGCAGCGCGTCGCGACGTACACGGCGACGGCGCAGCGCATACGCAAGGCGCCGGAGGGCTTCCACGGCCGTGTCCAGATGCTCCGGGCCACAGCCTCGCAGGCTTCATGGGGCCAAGGGTCTCACTGCATGCCTGGTACCCCGATTGCTTTGAATAAGTTGCGCACGGAGCTGCTGAAGGCGGCCTGGGATATGGACAAATATTCAAGCAGCGTGCAGATTTCGCTCACTATCCTGATGCCAGTTACCTTGGATCCATTTTTTGGCTTCGTGTACGCTGGCCTCAACAGCATGCGTCGGGCCATGAGCGACCGCGTGGTTCGCGACCAGGTCCGGGCAGCTCTTGCGGCGCCGCCTCGGGGAGCAGATGGCCCAGTTGCTCGCCTGCGCCAGGTCATGGAGCACGCCGAGCTCCGGCCCTGCGTCGAGCAGATGGTGCACGAGGAACAGCTGGATGTGAACAGGTGGTGCCATGACCTGCGGGATGCGTGGCGGCGGAGGCTCTGGCGCCAGCTGCCGGAGTTGCGTGCCACGTACAGAGGCGCCGAGCATGGTGTGGACCGTGAGAAGTCCACCAGCTATCTGCGGAGGCTGCAGGCGCAGGCTGATCAGCTGCAGCGCAAGCAGGACAGTGGAGATTTACAGGACATACCCTCGTCTTTCGATGATCCTCGGGCGAAGCTGGGCGTGTTGCGCCGCCTTATGGCGGGATCTCTGCTCACGAGTGACAGGCTGGCCCGTCACGCGGGCGCGGCGGAAGGCGTCATGTGCTCGTGTGGCCTCGGCAGGGAGACCATCGTCCACGTCTCCTGGGCGTGCCCGCGCCAGAGCACTTGGCGGGGGCCAGCCCTGGCAGCTTTGGGCGGGCCGTACACCGACCAGCCGATGTGCTTCCAGTACGCGACCATCGTGCCGGAGGCCTCCATGCTGACCGCGGAGCAGGTGGTTACGATCCAGAGATCCTTGGTAGACGTGTGGCAACATCGCATCCACGCCTGGCACGAAGGTGGCGGGGAGGAGGAGCCCGGCCCAGGGCCTGGACCGCCCGGCGCGGGAGGGCGGCGACGGCTGACGCAGAAATCCGCGCCTGCCGGCGATGTGCCGCCGCCGCCGCCTGAGCCAGGGAGGGCTGTCCAGAGGGGCGAGAGTGGTCCCCGGAGGCGAGGCGCCGGGGCGCGTGGCTCTGCCAACCCAGACAACGGCCACCTCATCCGGCTGATCCCTGGCGGCCGCGGGGTCTTCTGCGTCAAGTGCGGCAAGCAGACCGCGGAAATGAAGGCGAGGAGGCAGAAGATCACGCACAAGGCGTGTCCGCAGAAGGATCTGCCACAATCGCAGTGGCTCTCGCAGCCTGGCGTGCGGCGGAGCTCTGTGCGCTTGCAGAACGTCGAGACGGAGCTTCAGAAGTACAACGCCGGCAAGCACCAATTGAAGTGGAATGGCAAGCTCGGGAAGGTGCCGTTCGCGGAGGACGAGGGCCTCATTTGGTGCGCTGTCTGTGAGCGCCGCTGGTACTGGAAGGACAGGGCTAGCAATCTGGCGCGCACCAAGTGCGATGGGAACCCGAAGGCGGCGAACCGGGAGCGGCAGAAGAGCACGCAGGGCATCCAGAAGTGGACGGCCGCTCATGCGGACAGCCACGAACTCATCTACGAGGCGGAGAACCTGCGCTGGAAGTGTGGTAAATGCAGTGTTCATGGAGCCCTTGGTTTCGGGGCGCGCTTCGTGGCTGCCGTGCGTGTGCCGTGTGGAAGGGGCCAAAAGCGTTCCTCGCCGCCACAGTCGGATCCGCCTCGGAAATCTGGTCAGAGCGCTCCCTGGGAACCGGAGGCTGCCCTGACGGCCCGGGACAAGCCGGCGAAGCGCCAGAGAGTGCTGGAACCGCATTCGTCGAGGTTCCCCAGAACTGGAATAGGCTGAGCTAAGCAGGTCTGGAGGTGGTCGGCTTCATGCCGGCGCAGCTCAGACAAGGAAGGCGATTGGTGCCCCACGGGCTTCAAGTGCGGCATCAACTACCAGCCTCCCGCAGTGGTCCCTGGTGGCGACCTGGCCGAAGTCATGCGCGCCTGCTGCATGATCAGCAACTCCACCGCCGTCGCAGAGGTCTTTTTTCGCGCATCGACCACAAGTTCGACCTCGTGTACTCGAAGCGCGCGTTCGTGCACTGGTATGTGGGCGAGGGTATGGAGGAGGGCGAGTTCTCCGAGGCTCGCGAGGACCTGGCGGCGCTGGAGAAAGACTACGAAGAGGTGGGCATCAAGACCGCAGAAGGCGAGGGCGAGGAAGAGGGCTACGGCGACGAGTTCTGAGCAGGCTGCCACTGAGCAGCTGCACGAGGGAGGGCAACCGAGGAGTCGCACTCTGGTTGAGAAGGGCGTGCTTCCACGACCTTCTCCAAAGACTTGCGTGTTTGCGCGCAGCAGATCGGCATATCTTCCACGCTGACCTGTGGCTGTTCACTTGTGCAACACATCTTGGCTCGGGGTGGCCGAATTGTTAGACCGCCTCGTGCCCCTGCCAGCTTGTCATCGCGCCTGCAGAGAAGACAACCAAAGAGGGTCCCAGACTCCCCCAAGGGGTGCCCGAAACTGTTGTCAGCAGGCCCCTGGAGGCTTCGCAAAGATACCCCAAGACATGGGCTCGAGTAAGCTTCCAGGAGGCAGCGTTCGTGCTCATTCGGGTCTCCAGGGCCACGGGGGGGGAAGGTGGTCACGCGCGGGAGCCCCTCGACCTGCTCAGGAACGTGCGGATCCACCATCGGGGGCCCATCGCCGATCTAGCGGCGATGTACCGCCGATTCCATTCCAGGTCGCTGCGTCGCCCCTTATGCCAGCCCCCCCATGTCGCTGCCCCTCGAAAGCCTGAACAAGCAAGAGTGCGAACATCTTTCTGGGCCTCCCAGATCGGGTCGGAGTAGATGGGGTCGAAGGTTCGCCAAGTGTGGAGGCCGATGTTCTCCACGCCGACGTCGCCGATGCGTCGCTGATGCGTCGGTGATGCATCGGCGACGCATGAGCGATGCATCGAGGACGCATGGGCGCTGCATCGACGATGCGGGGCGATCGTCCGACCCCATGTGCTCCGAGCCCATATGGGAGGCTTCTACTCTTCCGGCAACCAACCTCGAAAATCTCTGATGCTGGCCTCCCAGGCCCCGGCCGGCAGCGGGCCACGCCCCTTTGCCGTCGCCCGCCCCCGCCGACCGTGCCCCCGCGCGCCCCTCGTGGCCCGGCGGGGCTCGGCGGGGCTCGGCCCGCGCCCCGGGGCGGGCCGCGGCTGCAGCCGCCGCTGACAGCTAGCACCCGTGCCCATGCGACCTGCAGGCTCCTCGGGGTCGAATTCTTGGGGGGGGGGGGGTGGGCGCGTGTTATCGGAGTTGGGTCTCCGCTCGAACGGGGGCCCTTCGATCGGAGTCCGACAGCGCTTTACCTGCAGTGCAGCCTCCAACCGCGAGGCGCGGGTCAGCGCCCCTACAAGTATGAGCGCGTGTCGCCCGCTTGTCACGAGCAGCGGGCCGCAGCCCTCTGCTGTCGCCCGCCTCAAAAAACACTCGGGGGAGGCCAGTTTCACAGAGGCAGGGTTCCGTGATTTTCTAGTGGGCCTTGTCGGATCTGAATGGCCGTTGGAGGCAATTCAGACTCCCCCCCCTCGTTTCGGTGGAACTCTCTTGCCTTTCGCCCCCTGGAAGTGATATCCCGCCCCCAGAGCCCTCAGTGCGGGATCCCACCAAGATCCCAAAGCCCAATAAGATCACAGCAATACCCCACTCGGATTCCAATTTGAGCCCAAGAGGAATATATGGCTCTATGGTTCCAATGATTGTCTCGGCCATGTTTGCGTGGTGTCGACGAGAACCCAAGCATGATTCCTTTCCGATGGGAACGCACTACAGGTTTCTCTTCTACATCTCTTACTTCAACCCCTCACTGACTTTATTAAGTTAAACCAATGTGTGGGATGCTATCGATATCGCTCGGCGGTTCTTCCCTCGGAGATCAATTGATTATTTTGAGTACTCCTGGTATCGCCGGGGGCATTCTCAGTTGCTTCTCACAGGTATTCGCTTCTCCGATCATCCGGGATGGCCAGGACAGCCCGAGAGTCTTCCAATAGCGCGGCTAGTACCGCACTGGGAACGACAGGCCATGAGGCTCTCAAGACGGCCGGGGGGGAGTCGCAAGACGCTGGGTCCAGCGACAAACGCCGGGAGGCATTGATCGCGCCGTTCTGCCGTGGCACGGTCTGCGCCTCTTCCAGCTCAGCCCGCGTGCAGCCTTGACTCAGGCGAGCCATCCCACTTCGCGTCGATTGTCCCTCGCGTGAGCGCGCGCACACTGACCACCAATTGTCGCTGATCAGACGAGCGAAGACGATGGTCGAACAGCGTGACGCAACTGTCACTAGAACCTTTGCGCGCAAAGCGCGCGCGTGGTTTGATCACGCCTCAGCTCTGTCCTAAAAACATATGCGTCTACATCCATACAACAGACCGTTCATGCATCAGTCCATTCGTACATGGTTCCGTACATTCCACCGTACATAATCGATCAATGTTTCTTTCCAGGCAGCCCGAAAACCAGACGTGATTCAACCGTTTAGCCCTTGAGCCAGCCCCACATGTCTGTTGACACCGTCTTCGGAGTCGTTCGGAACCTGGGTGCGCGCGTCGCGCGCGCGTGGTGCTGGAATGTGCGTATGTGTTTATACTTGCGTGGTTACATACACATCGCGTCTCGTATGTTGCCCCGTCTGTATAATCACCATTGCGTGCTATATAATCCCCCATTGGTGCCCAGTTTTTTGTTTTATAATATATACACAGTCATACATATATAAGAAATAGAGATTTCGTGTAAGTGCTGCACTGTTCACAGGGCTACGACAATACAGAACTATGAGTACATACATGTATGTGCAGACATGTGCTTCTACACACTCAGCATGACCTTTCGTTCCATTCTGAGTATCAACTCATCTCATATCAGCCTTGCTGGCATCGCCCTCCCGCACATTCCTGTCACACAGTGCCATGCGGTGCACACGCGTTGATCTAACACGTGCGTTTGTCAGAAGCTTTCTCACATGCTATTATGTTGCCCTTATGCGCGCGCCCCCCTTGTGCGCATGCTCACGTCAACACATACACACACCTTGTTTTGTTTAAACCTGCAAGCATTTCTCCCTCATGCGAGAAAGAAATGTTTTTCATGTCTTTTCTCCAACCAACTGCCACACTCATGCGCGCTCCCTTTGAAAGGCCAAAAAACATTGATAGGATCTTTGGCCATACTGTCGACCGGCCACGCGCGTGCACATGTGGAACCCATTCAACCATCATCGCGCTGCCCTCCTCCGTCAAACAGTTCCATGCGGGTCGCGCGCGCGTCGCCTAGTGCAGGCGTCGAAGCTCTGCACTTACATGTTGTGGTGTGTGTCTTCCATTCTGTGAAACATCGTTTCAGCACACAGGTGTGCAGCACCCAGTGGTTGTTCAATACAACTTCTTTCAGCATTACGGGCGTTCTTCCCCCGTGCATTTAGTTATCATCCTCAGCAACACAATCGTTATCATCATCGCCAGTGTCATCATTGCCACCGCCATCAGCATCTCCGTCATCTTCATCGTCATTGTCATAATCGCCGTTGTTACCGCCGCCGTCGTCTTCAATCTCATCATTGTCATCGTTGTTGTCGTCGCCTGTTTCGTCAGCGCCGTCATCAGCATCACCATCCTAGGCATGGACCTGCACGACAAGAGTTTTCGTGTCCTTACTTCGGTTGTGTTGTACCAACAAGATGCGGGTGAGCGCGTGGGAATTTTGCTCGAGTCTTGGAGTTGACGCCTGCTCCAAGTTCGTCCACATTAGTTGCGCCGTGTGGATGTCCCGTTTTTAATGGTAAACACACATCGGTTTCCCCTCCCTCTTTCCTGGGCTGATGTTTACCCTTCCGGTAGCGCGAGACAACATATGTTCGCGTATATGGTCATGCGCACTTGTTAATGCTAGGTGCGTGTGCGTAACATCGGGTATACTCTATAGGTATACTATTGTTTGATAGTCTAGCATCTGTTAGATATGGGGTGCGATGGGCACACATACTTACATTACCTACGATGGGGTAACATGTATGCCTACATCGTATGCTTGTACGTCATGCGATACACGGCAGGTTAAGCGAACCCATGTTCGTTCAACATACGTTCATACAGCATGTTGCTGTATCGAAGACGCCTACGGCGAATCACCGCCGCCCCCTGCCTTTGTGGAAGCGCCTAGGTGACCGAACGTTGATGCCAGACCTGCCAAGCTATCGGACCATGTGTTCCCCGAATCGGTTTGGAAAGCCTTCGGGGAACACGTGGGCATCTTGAAGGTCATCTTGGCCGTCTGGAGGCCATTTTGACAATTTCGGGCCCTCTTGGAGGACGTCTTGGAGAGGGCTATTAGGCCGTCTTGGAGGCCATCTTCAGCGTCTTGGAGGCCTCTTAGGCCGTCTTGGGGGCCTCTTGGGGCCGTCTTGGGCCTTCTGGGCGATCTTTGGGTGCACTTGGGCCGTCTCGGGCCGTCGGAAGGCCGGAAAGAAACAAATGCCACAATCCTTTAAGACCTCAGGATAATCAATGATTTGTGCCTTTTCGGGCCTTCCTGTAGGCCCTCTTGGAGGCCTCTTGGGCCGTCTTGGGCCATCTTAGGGCCATCTTCGGCCATCTTGGTGGGCTCCTGGCCCGTCTGACGCCGTCGGAAGCCGTTTCGGGGGCCTCTCTGTGCCGACTTGGGGCCCTCTTGGAATGCTCTAGGGCCGTCTTGGAGGCCATCTTGGGCGTCTTAAAGGCCTCCTGGGCCGTCTTGGGGGCTGGGGCCTTCTTGGAGGCCTCTTGGGCGATTTTTGGGCGATCTTTGGGGGCTCCTGGGCCGTCTCGGGCCGTCGGAATGCCGAAAAGAAGCACATGTCAAAATCCCTTACGGGCCTTCCTGGAGGTCCTCTTGGAGCCCTCTTGGGCCGTCTTGGGCCAGCTTCGAGGCAACTTCGGCCATCTTGGTGGGTTCCTGGCACGTCTGACGCCGTCGGGAGCCGTCTTGGGGGCCTGTTTGAACCGGCTTAGGCCGCTTCGGGGCCGTCTCGGAGGCCATCTTGGGCGTCTAGGAGGCCTCTTGGCCCGTCTTGGGGGCCTCTTGTTGCCGTCTCGGGGGCCTCTTGGGCAGTCCTGAGTCCATCTTGGAGGCTTCTTGGGCGCTGTGGGGGCGATCTTGGGGGCCTCTTGGGCCGTCTTGGGTCGTCGGAGAGCCGAGTAGAAGCGAATGCGAAA